CAGCAGCTTCAGCCCCATCCCGCACGTCCTCCTCCTCGCCAGCTCGCCAGAGTTTCTCGGACTCGGATGTCTGGGCCAGTCCATGGCTGCGTTTTTGTTTTGGTGTGGTTCTGGTGGTGGTTCTGGAGTAAACAATGCACCAACAGCAGTCACGACTGGAGGGCAGGAGTTGCATCCAACCCCACCACAAGCCAGATGAGTCACGGAACTGTGGAACCGAAAACCAAAGGGACTGTGCTGTGTTTCGAGGCAGGTTTTTGGTACTAGCTTCAGACAAACCATTTGTTTATATCCATCAATAGTACTCGTACTAGTGTTTTATATGCAAAGTAAATTTTGTGGAACTCCTTGGTAGTGCTCAGCATGGAGTTCTGGCCCCTCCACTGTGCACCTGCCAAGATTGCTTTGCCCATCGGAAGTTTGCGAAGTTTTGCAGTGTCTATTTGCAGACTTGTCTCCCTTGCTCTGGACTGTGGTTTCATCCAGACCATTGAAGACTGCGAATATGGCGCATCTGTTGATGCTGCGGTTCCTCGGCAGCGTCATCTGCAACTCATCATTTTGTGAAATATTGCTCCTTTGCATACCTGAAGCCAATTGTTGTTTTGGCCGGGCTAACAGAACTTAATGCCGACCGATCAGACGGAGTTGTTGGGCGCATTTCAATCAACTGGCAGACGCCGCCGCAGACATAATTTATTGCCACTCTTGGCAACGATATTCATTTCCCGCATTGATGTTTTCCTTAAGTGTTTCCTTTCCATTTCAAGGAGGACACAGCGCAGGGCGGCGCTAATTGATTGTGGGCTACCTTGGGAATCTGGAGTCCACCTTGCTGGTTCAGTCGGACATGGAACGCAAACACAGTTAGTGGGCCACTTAAGTGCGCTTAATTAATGCAAAGCGAATCCGAATCCCAATCCCAATTCCAATTGGCCGCCGGATTTCGGGTCGCATTAGATGCGCATCGGGGGCAGAACAAGCGCGTCGCCTGTTCCTGGCAAGAGCATCCCTGTGCCCACAAACCACTTAATCTACATCGCGATTGCTTCGACTACCTCTAAATAGTTGGCGAAATCCACTTACAGCACAGGCTGGTATAACCAGCAGACGCTGTATCTGAAAGATACACTGTCCATTGCTGTTTCATTGATATTTGTACCTTTTCTATTACCACCATTGTTGTGAGGAGTCAGGGCATCGAAAGTTCGGTGACAACCGCCTACTCTTCTGCGTGGGATGTTCCTTTCTGGCTGCTAATGTTTGCAGCTTGTTGTCGACTGACACCGCCAGCGACTTTTGGTGGCCAAAGTGGGTGCAGTCCGGGGCGTCCGCGGATTATCCTTTGTTGGGCATCGACAAGTCGGCCAGCGAGGAGCACGGAACATGGAGTCGCGCTGGATTTCTTGTTTTTACTCCACCCGCAAGTGAGCGACGCACTTTTTGCGCGCCATCCTTAATTGCGAGGTGTTCAAGTGAACTCTGATTGCCGCTGCTCCGAGTCGCCTCCGGACTCCGCTCCAGCTATTCGATGGCGTTAATTGGGCAGCAGACGGAGCACAGCAGCCGGCGCAACATTTGCTGCCACTTTGATGCCCTGCCGATGATACTCGACCAAAACTGCGACTTCAACGAGCTGCAGTCCCGAAAATTTGCATTTCAAGCAGCCCGCGATTTATGGCCCAGTCCGTGGGATTCGTTGGCAGCAGGGGCAGTTGCCGGGTTGGAGGCGACTGGTGGGGCTGTTGGGGCTGCTGTGACGAATCCAATTATGAGGCGCGCCAGCTGGAGGATCCGAGGAGGGGCAGCCGACCCCTGACGGGTGCCATGTGCCTGATGCGATAATGCGCCATCAAATGGCCATAAATAAAGCGCACAAAGCGGATTAAGCGTTTTGTTAACAGATTTATATTGAGCTGAATTATGAGCCAGCGGCGAGTTGAGATTTAATGAGCCCTCCCCCCTCCCTCCCGAGCTGCCAATGGGATCGGGATCAATGGAATGAACTCGGGCTTATAGTCCCCTCGGGATGCAGGCTGGCCTCATTGTGGAAAACTCGTTAAATCTCTCCTTAAGCAGATCATATTCATGTTTCTCCTGCAAATAGCACCGTAGAATTGAACTGAAAAGTTGTCCCAAACATTACAGCTCAAGCGAAATCAGTTAACATGCCCTAAATGGAATAGTTACAAAATGATGTACATGTACTCCTTTGGCCATCCCTCTGCCCAGCTGTCAACTCATTCCCGATGAAGCAACTGATGTGCTCCATGGCTGGAGCTGCAAATTTGAAATCGCTGTTAGAGTTCCTGTCACTTCCACTCCGGTTTTGGCCATTGCCATTGCCATGGTTACTGAAAGCTTTGCATACCGAACCGGAGGAGAATATGAATTAGAATTGATGGCAAATGCCAAACAAGACTTTATGCAGATACTTTTGATAAATTCATGGGACCTTGGGATGGGAAATACATGAACGAACACCGAAAGTTGCAGCACAAAATGTTGTAGCTGAACTGCCAGAAATATTTATGCTGCAAATTCGAGCTGTTATCGATTGGAAGGACATGCATATTGCATGTGTGTGTTATTTTTTGCCCCCCCAAACCATTAGTTTATCGAATTTAAGTGCTCCCCAAGGGGAGGCAGAAAAAACAGTGGCATTCTGGGCAGTGTTTGTCTATGTTCCGGGGCAGCACAGGCGGAAGATGGTATCCCGGGTGAATGGACACCTAAAGCCTGGCCAAAAATTACAGCCACCGAAAGTGAGGCAGCCCACAAAAAATAACCGAAATGCAGAAGACAGATGAAAAACCCGAGCTCCAAATTGCCCCCGAGGGCAGGCGATGGCAAATTGAGGCTGCCGCTGAAGAAGCCGCCTCACCTGGCCCAGGAGGAGGAGCAGGAGGAGGAGATGCCGCTCCTGGTAGGTGGGGAGGATCATCCTCATCAGTCGATCGACGAGTGGCAGCCGCGTGCTGCACTGAACTCCAGTGCCCGCAAAAAGTGCAGATTCTCGAGTGCCCGGCTGGCTGACTGGTCGGCATTTGGGCTGAGCGTCGAATTAAGCAAATTATGGTGGGCCCCCTGTGATCGATCCGAATTGAGCCCCCTTTTCGCTGGCCGACGCCCCTGTCTCCTCGACAGATGCTGCAATTTGCCTTAATGCCCAGGATTATGTACGAAGCGACTGCGAAAGCTGCAAACTGTTGACTCTTTTTTGCCGTGTCCACTCAAATTGGCGCATGTAAATTTTTGCGTCGGCCAAAGTCGCTGACCCATCGGGTCAGGCATATGGATTGGCAAGTGCAGTTGGTCCTATCCATAGGATGATGACATCCATAGGGTATTTGAAGATTTCTGCCAAAAATACCTATTATTTTTATTAAAATCCACAATCAATTATGACTTTAGATATTCAGTACTTTCAGACTCTAAATGTTTGTAATACCAGTTTGTAGGGAGTTCCCTGTTCGATCCCATCCCATCCCGTCCTGCCTCTGGTATTTCGTCTCCTCCAGCCTGATGCTGACATTTGTGTGTGCGCTGAAATATTTTTTGAATGCAGATTTTTCACTTAAAATTATTTCAATTACGCCAAGTGCAGGCCAAGGAGCCCAATCCTCGAGACTTGGCTTTTTTGTCGACTTGTCCTCTGCGCCGAGCGCAGGAATGGAGGAATGGCAGCTGCTGCAGTTCAGTTGTCGCTTTCGGAACTTCAGCTGCAAGTAGATTAAATGCCACAACCGCAAACAGACAAACTTGGTCAATTATTTTCAACGGCGGACACAAATTATTGATGCAGCCCCACCCCACCCCGCTCCGTTCCGCCCCTGCCGCCGAGCAGCCCGGCCTGGAGTTTCAAAAGCTGCCCGACCAAACCGCATCATCAATCTGGGGAAGTCTTGGTCGTCCTCGTCCCTCCTGGAGGCAGAGAAGCGGAGACAATGGGCTCACCCCTCGCCGCTTTTCTCGCAAAAGGTCTTCATTAAATTAGTGAAATGAGCAAGTCGTCCAGGATTCAGCTGCAACTCAACTGGAGGTGGCACACTCGGAAAAAGATTGCCCGCCATAAAGTGGAAAAGGTGCTTTATGGCAAAAAAGATATGTATATCGCACTGCTCTTTAAAAGAATGAAGAGATACCTGTATCTTTTAAACTTTGGGGTGTGCTGAGTTGCTCCTTCCTCCTCATTTCTTCGAGTGTACGGTCACAACGACGCCTAAACCGCTTAAGCAGAGCTTGTTCCATTGAGCAGCCTCTGGAGCCTCGCATCTGCGAGCAGCCGCATTTAATGTCACAAATATTTGTTGTCAACTGTCAATTGAGTTGGGCGCAGGAAGATACTCGCTTCTCGATGCCCGGCGATTTGGAGCGATGCAACTGGTGACGACTTAACGAGAACCCCAGATGATCCCCCATGCTCCACGGCGAGCAGGCGATCAGGGATCCCCCCGAAGAGCTCCTTCGCAGAATCCACCTCGATCTGATTCGATTGAGGAATCGAATCGCAAATGGCTTGCTAAATTGGCTCAACTGGCTGGGTGGGTCGAATGTTCGATTGAACCATCAATGTCTCATCAAAATGCACTCGGTTTTGGGTGGTGGTGCTGTGGCTTTTCAGCCGGGGAGCCAGCAACGTGGCTTGCAGCTATTGAATTACCCACACATTCGGTACAAGTTTACAATTTCATTATCGGCGAATGCGAAATCCAAAACCGAAAATAATGAACTCCTCCCCCCGCAGAAGCTCCCCCTTTTTGGCCATGGCTAAAGGGGCCACCGCATGATGAGGCAATGCCAAAATAGAACAACGTCCAGAGCTGATGGCTAATTTCTGTTTTTGTTTGTTATTAATTTCTGGCGCGGCCTGCCAAAATGTTGGCTTTTCGATTGCAGCTGTTTCAGCTGATTGGGGAATTAGCATGCATTTTGACGCAGTTTACCTCAGATTGAAACTCAAATGGAGCGAAACCTTCAAATAAAACAACGCACATTAATAATCTTTAGTTTGGTATTTTATTGAGTTAGAGTTCTGGTTTCAAGTAATTCAATTTGGATATATGTTATGTCTTTAAGCTCTGGTTTGGCATTAAGCCTGAGTAGGCAACTCAATGGAGGAGTCCATCAATCAGATAGCAACCCAAACCGATCCTAAGTCTTTGATGTGAGCCAGGCTCGGTTCCCGTAAGGAACTTCTCCACTCCTTTGGCATTGGCATAAGATAAATGTTGGGACTTACGAGCTACGAGTATTTTGAGCGATCCCCTCTTGAAGTGGGAGCCAGGATAACCGACAGATGTATAGTAGATATGTTATTTGAGCACACTGTCCTGGGAAAAGTCTTACGATCTAGTGACTAGACTAAGGCATAAGAGGAGACACAGGTGTCTATGTGAGCGGGTTGCAGTCTTTGGCTCCTGCCTGCGATCATCCCATTCCGAGGTCGTTTATCAGGTGCTGCCTGATCACCTGACCCTCCTCCTCGGCCAGGAGTTGAGCTGTGACCGTGTTGACCAGATTGAAGGCGATTCCGAAGGCGCTGAATGCGCACCACACGCCCAGGGCCAGCCAACGGAGTGGCCGTGGTCGCAGCCCACCATCCAACTGGCGGAGGAGCAGCAGACCCACACTGATCCCGGCCAGAGCCCCGGTCATGTGGGCGATATAGGAGACCGACGGTCGTGCCTGTAGATGGTGCAGCGCCAGTTCCCTGGAGTAGAGGGCATAACCCAAATCGCAGAAAACTGTAACGGATAGGAAATTTATGTATGATTCTTAACCTGAATTGCAGCACTGCACTTACCGAACAGAATCACAGCCATTAGCTGGAAAACGCCATGTCGCATATGACCAAAGTTGAGCAAAAGACTCGCCAGCTGGGCGGCCAGCAAGGCATATACTCCTCCACTGGCTCCCAGCAGGTAAACCTCCGAGTCCACCACCGAAGTTCCCAAAGAGCCAGCCAAAACGCCGGCCATATAAATAATGCCCGTTCTCAGCGATCCATGTACCAGCTCCAAGGGCACACCAAACAGCAGCTGGGTGAGCACGTTGTAGCCCAGATGCAGCCAACTGGCGTGGAGCAGGGCATAGCTGAGGAATCTCCAGAGCTGGAGGCGCTGGTCAGGACGATACACCAGAAGAGAGTCCTCGGGTGGATCAGCACCGACCCATAGAAACACGAGAATCTGCGGAGTTTATAATGAAAAGCATGGTTTATTATAAAATAAAAGATTTATATAAAAGAGCGCAGCGAAAACTTCAATCGAAGCACGAAAACATTTCCTGTATGTTTCTTTTATACCGAACTAGTTCGGAACCACTTCTTGAGCACTGCTTTTTGGGGGAAGCCCCATTCCCAGTCGAGACTAGGAGGGCAGCACTAAAATCATCCAGACCGCACAGCCGAGACAGCTCGGCCAGAAGAAGAAGTAGTGGGGTGGCCAGAACAACCCCCAAAGGCGTAGACTGCCAGCAGACGGCGACGAGACGTCGCCATCAATTCCCCCCAGCTCCTGGCTTTCCCCTTCCACCCGTTTCGCCTCCAGAAACCCCATTTTTCCCTCTCATTCCTGCCCAATTGCCCGTTTTTCTGTGGCCTGGCGGCGTCCAGTCTGTGTGGTGTGCAAAAAGCCAGACGCGGAAAACAAATCGTAGACGTGTTGGATTTTTCGCACGCACTCTGTATCCCTTCTTCCTTTCTGCCATCCAGAGGCCCCTTTTCCCCGTTTCCCCCCTACTTGCTACTCGTATATCCTTTAACCGGAAGCCAACTTCCATTTACAAATGCATTGGATAGAAGGTGGTGGGGAGTGGCGAGAAGCTAAGTCGTATTCGGTGTGTGTGGCCCTGTCGGCAATTTGTTTGCCTCAAAAGTCAATTGCTAGACGAGATCTCTGTTGTGTGGGTTAGATAGAAGGAATACTTGGGGGCCCTTCGGCCTGCGGAAGGTTGGGGTCTGACATACGATACAGCATCTTTGTTATGGCCAAGCAAACAACCCTCTTCGCCGAGCATCTCGTTTAATTTGAGATACAAAACGCGTTTCATACGTGACTGCAAGTCGCTGGGCATTCCGGCTCCAAAGTCTTTGGTGTGGGGTTAAGTGTAATGAAAAGTGAACCAAAGCTGCAATAAGTAAGTAAAATACTTTTGAAATGTACTAACTTATCAGTTTGACAACTATGCCATAAAAATGTTTACATTCAAGAGTGTATTTGAAAGTCTTAAAATGTTTGTTACCATTCTGCGATTTCTAAAGCTTCAAGCTATTTTAAACTTATTTTTCTTTCGCTGCATAATGGCTAAGCTTTAAAGCCTTGAAATAGTAATAAAAATGTTTAACTCAGAGATTGGGTATAATGCTATGATATGTAATTGCCGACACAACCATCAGACACAAAAGATCAGGGGTTAAATGTGCGCCCAATTCAATATGTTGGCTATCCCAAGGGTTGCACTGCAACATCTACGACTATAAGCCAACAATTAAACTAGAATGTGGCCTGAATGTTGTGCTTTTATATGCGATGTCATGGCAACTTCAGCCCATCGACATCCCCAACTCGAGGCCACCCCAAATGTGACTGTTATGACCCTCAATCAACCCTCGACGGTAATCGCATTAAAAAGCGCTCACATTTGGCGCCCAACGTGGGGCTACTCACCTCGAGGAGCGTGGCGAGGATAATGAAAAAGGGCGGAACCCACTTGACAGTCGTGGCAGCCCCTTCAAGATGTTTCGCCCTGTGATTCCCCCAATCCGGGGAACTGCTCTTGGATGCTGCTGCTCCGGATGCCCGATGCACTGGCTGCACCGCCATCAGCTGGTCACAGCAGACGCCCAGCACCAGTCCGGATTTCGACGACGACGGAGCCGGCGGCATTTGCAGAACAGTACTGGGCGGCATCTCCTCCTCCTGCTCCTTCTCCTCCTCCTCCTGCTTCTCTGTTCCGATGAGGGGTCTATTTTTGGGGCGTCTGCCTTGTGACGGTGCCCCACTTAGCGGGAGCATCTGAGGATGAGGCGGCTTCTGTCATGGTGAGATGAGCGGAATGCTGTCTGCTCCCGGCGGCGGCTGTCTGGACGAAAAAGAAAACTCAATCACTTTAAAAAACTAATCACTCTTGGGATACAATTTCGTTTAAAACTTTATATCTTAACAGAAAACGAATTAGAAGGGGAATTTATGTTGACACACACTATATATAAATTAATGATGATCCTAAATTGTATGCCCGCCCATCCCTGATTTCTCTCAGTGCCGAAGGGGATTACGCGGTGGGCCAAATTAGCTCAAGGTTGTCTCTCTATTTCTGCGACTGTCTCCGGCTTTGACGACAACTGCAGCGCAATTTCTCCGCGACGCGTCTCGATTTGGCAGACGACGATGTTCGACATTGCCAGAGGCGCCATCATTGAGGTCTATATATCCCCCGTGCTCCTGTCCCCCAGTCCGCCAGCCCCCTACCCTCCCCGCTGTATCACCCCCTCTCTGTTGCCGCTTTTAATGGCCCTAGACGGCCATAAAAGAGTCACGAATTTATTTCTTTTTTTGCACTCGCAAGAAATTTATTTCCGCTGCGGCAGCACCAAAGAAAAGAAGGCCAAAATGCAACCCCGAAAGTGCTCAAACTTGAGATTAAGACGGAATTCGGAATTTGGAACTCGGAATTCCTAGCCGGAGGAAGCAGTCGAAGAACACGCTGGAAGGGCATTTGCAATAAGCCAGGGAGCATCGGAGGAATATAGTGCCAGTGAAATCTATGATCGTAAATCTTGAAATTAAATGTTGCATAAAAAAGTAATGTATGGTTGGCACTAATGGAGTTTGCTATCCATCCAACATGCTGCTCCACTTTGTTAGCCTAAGGCGACTCACTACAGCAACATAACTGGCAAAACATACTTCTCTTTCTAGTGGACACAATCAATAATCCTTACAATCATTTCAATAATTTCAATTCCAATTGTGAGTTCTTAAGATATAGCCTAAGCCAAAGACCAAGGATGCGAAGGCAAGGATTAATTCCATATAATGGGAGCCTTGTTTCGAGTAGACAGCAACTAACCCGTACTCTGCCTAAATCGAAAGAAACAGTGAGCTTTCGCCCGAGGGTTAACTAGTTTATGTGCATGTTTCGGTTTTGGCTAGTTTATGTTTTTGGCTTATTTTGGACGGCTTCCAGTTCTGGGGTCCCATGGCGTGTCCTGTTCGGTTTGGTTGTCCTGTAGTGTTGTGGTGCGGTGCAGTTGCTCTTGGTAATGGGTAATGAGTTTTAATGGTGATTACCTCTGGCCCAAAACAACTGGGATAGTGGAAGGTCCTGTCGTGCTGTCCTGCGCCCTCTGCTGTTTCCCAAAAAACAAAAAAAAAAACAAAAACTTGTTTCACAGACGGAAGTGTTGCTCTTGGCCGTCCCCCTAATGATCCTGGCGCACAACTGGCAAACCGGTTAATGGATCCGAAAATGGGGACCGAGGAAGGCAGGCAGGCGCATGCCAAAACTGTAAAAATATCGACAGGTGTATCCTTAATGTCCTTAGACTTCGATCCCTGGCAGCTTTGGCTGGTTTGTTCAACTTGGTCTGCCGCTTTTTCTGCTGCTGTCCTTGGCACGCAACTTGTTCGTGTGCAGGACACTGAAACGCACAATATCCTTGAAACAAACATCCAACTTCCTCTGTGCCGTTGCTCCGGTCCCATACGCCCTTCCTCTACCCTCTTTTTACCCTTGTGGGGCCCTGTGTTTGCCTTCCTGCTCGGCTCATTTGGCAAAGGCAGAAATCGAAGTTCAACGGCTAGTTGGTTGAAGTTGATTATGCAAGCCAACCTCCTTGCTGCTCCACCAATGCTCTGACTTCTGGCACTCGTTACACAGTAATAAAATATTAATGGGTGGGACATTTAAAATGTTTATTACCGGCGAAGCACAGGACTTTGGAAATGTATAAAATATAAGTTCTTAAGAATTCTTTAAGAATTAAGCAAAAATCATTGAAATCTTGTGACACCGTACAATATTGTGTGCTGGTTGCACATCAAGTTTCTGTCGTTCTTATCGACTTTCACACATTTAGTTTGACAATCATTTTCAATGAAATGACTTTCCATTTGGCACATATCGCCTTTATTTGATCAAAAGTGGGCGGTAATTGGTGTTTTCAATCTATTTTTCCAGTGACCCGCTCCTTGAGTTTCTGTTCTAGATTTCTATAGGCGACCGCATTTTGTGTTTGCATTGGGCAAACATTTCATTTACATAATGCTGACTATTTGTATTTGCACTATTTGCATGCGGAGTACTTTTCTAAGTTTATCAAATATGTAGGGGCTATCCCCACCTATTTTTTACGTATTTTCCTTTATTGATTTATGCGGTTCAGCGAGCTGGTTAAATTGGCTCGAAACATATTCGAAATTATTTCGCAGTTCAGGAACTGGGACAATGGATGGCAATTACAAAGATATTGCTCCTGAGTAAATATGGTTAGTTAGTTTTGCAGTTGGCGAGCGAAAGGGCGAGAGGAGACAATAACAAATTTAATTACTAAAGCCGCAGGGTGCATGCACCACCCAAAAGAAATAGTGAGAGAGAAATGTACAAAAAAATAAAAATACATAATTACAACGCGGCTTAAATGCCTTTGGGTCGAGAGCAAAAGTTATGGAGAGCCAGTGGGCGGGTCGAAAAGTGAAAGAATAACGAAGAAAGTTACGTTAACAAAACGCAACAACAAATGGACTGCAGGCGCAACAACAAGACGCTCAACATGAACTACCAACAATGACGAGAAAATTATTATAAAACTATAATTGAAAAATGTTTACCAGGTGGGTGGCTCTTATGTCGGGTGATGGTGGGATCCAATCTAAAGTTGTGGCAGCTTACACAGAAGAAATCGATCTACACCTTTTCAGACAATCGTCCTAAACTTATTTGTAGGGCTATCAGACCGAAGATAAAATAAACAAATTCGACTTTTTTAAACATACTACAAACATACTACCAATCTTATATTATACCAACATTTGGTAGTGTGCTTGTAATGTAGATCGTGGTCACCAAATGGAAAATTGGCTTATGATTAAAGACATACAATTTGATTTTAAGAGCAAATAAAACAATGTAATTGAAAAGGTCACCCACGAGAGCTTTCACTGTACACCAACTCTGGGAATTGTTTTCACTTTTATAATTTCTTCAAAGGTTTCTTTTCGCATTATTTCTATGAGACGATAATGAAGCGTTATGAAAGATGTGCATGGAAAGTCAAAAGGGATGGGGGATAGTTTAGCTAGTGAAGGGGGCTGCCACTGAGGCTTTGACGCCCAAAGTCTTAGTTGGTTTCACAATAAAATTCCGACAATTGAAGCGAATGCGATTAAAAGTCGCGCACGCCATCACAGAAGAAAAATGCGGCAAGTGCCGGGGCTGGGGAAAAGGGGGCCGGAGAGGAGGGGGCTGCGCGAAGGGGCAAGTGGAGCATCGCGATAGCCGGCGTCTTGGAATTCTCAAGTCTCTCGAACCGAGCAACCACGACCCACGCAGGCTGCAAAGTTCATTTCCATTCGGGTTGCATGTCAAGTTGCAGTGGCAAAGGAGTGAAGAGAGGCGAGTGTGGGAAGCCGGCTAGCGCTGTTTCATTTCGTCCTACAGCCATCTCACTTCCTCGCACGCCAATTAATGGTCTTTCTCTTTGCTTTCAATTTAATTGTAATTTCTTTTGTGTTTATTGCGTTTTGTGTGTCTGCTGCTTACGTTTTAATTTCATTAACTTGTGTTTACTGTGTGAAACACTTGCCCTTACTCGGATCCCCTTGCCGCTCCCCTTCGCCCACCACTGGCCCATAAAACGCTCAACATAAAACTTAAGCCCCAAGAGCTTGCCTCTGCTTCTGTTGTTGTTCTTCAAATTCAACAAAAGAATGTAGCATAAACTGCTCTCGATGGCGAGTCGAGATTGCAGAGATTTAGAACAACCAACGACCGAACCAACATTTTGAAGCTGCCCAATTCGCTGGTGGTCTCAACGTCAAACAGGGTCATAATAACTGATGCAAGCAAAGAGGTAATAAATGCAAGTTATTTCTTTTTCTTACTCGTGAAAGTTTTCAAAATAAAAAAAAAACTTGACAGCCATATTTCCCATACCGGGAATTGAACCCGGGCCTTCCGGGTGAGAGCCGGATATCCTAACCACTAGACAATATGGGACTTGGAATGCAACATCGAAAACATGTCCTAGAATTGTGGTAATATTATTTTTAGAGATGACAGATCTTAAAACTTAATTTCCATTTTAGATAGTTGCAAAATCCATTAATATTAAAAGCACAAAATAAAAAAAACTGCATTATTGGATTTATTTAAGAATGCGTGTATAAATTTAAAAATATACGCGATAAAAAAATGAGCATCCATATTTCCCATACCGGGAATTGAACCCGGGCCTTCCGGGTGAGAGCCGGATATCCTAACCACTAGACAATATGGGAGTTGTGTTTGATTATCATAAATGATATTAGGATTTTCGGTAATACTTATTTTTAGATAAGAGATCTACAATAATAGTGGGTACCGATCTTTATAAAAATGTTCCCCTAATATTAAATAACCTGAGTTGTTTCATCTTAAAATCAATAAAAAAGCTGTCAGTCCTGAAAGGTGACCTCGAGGATTATTCAATATAAAACAACAGCATTATAATATTCGTGTATTGAAAAGAAAACTGTTCCATATTTCCCATACCGGGAATTGAACCCGGGCCTTCCGGGTGAGAGCCGGATATCCTAACCACTAGACAATATGGGATATGACAACGTGGCGCGCCAAAAGCCAACTTCAGTCGCGCAGCATGCAGATCGCTGTTTGCTCGTTTCGTTTGATTTTGAGATTATTCTGATCGGAGTTTAAAAATAGCCGCTGAATCACAGAGTGCTGGGCAGAAAATCCAAACTCGATGACGAATGTAAATTAGGTATTGGCCCGGATCGGATCGGATTGAAATGGAATGCAGAGCGTTGGTATATGCTTATTATTTTGCCGGTTCGTGATCTGCGGAAAACCGCAAGCTACTT